CAGAACAAATATAATGAAAGATCACGTTAAAAGCTTATGAAGGATAGGCCTGTAGGAACAGAAAATGTTTCAGATGTCTTTTGAAGCTATCACGTGGTCTTATTTGTCTTAGTTTCAAACGCTGCAACGTACATAAGAATACACCAATCAAATCTGAACGTTTTTCTGGGGTGAAGTTCATTTGAAGAACAGTTTGAGCAGCTTTCCTCAGTCCCCCGATGTGAACCGCAAAAGGCCTGACACTGTCAACACGTGCTGACCAACGTGTCTGAGACATACTGTGCAAAGAGCTGGGAATATTTTGCTTCAAAATTTCCCACCTTTGAGGTTCCCCCTTCCCCTCCCCTTCCACGAGGTGCAAAATTAACTAAATTGGGATCAGTTTTAGTTTTAATTTTAGTAAAGAGTTTTCCGGCACTTGCAACACAATAAGGTCATATTAGTGCCGAAGATTAGAGGTGTTACAAGAGAGTAACAACAAACGTAAAAAAGAAGGAGAGATAAGGACGATAGCTGTTTAGAGGAAAGAAGGAGCAAACCACACCAGAGCACCCGCCAACCACCCACTATCGGGATCAAGGAAATGATATATATATGGTTAAACAACTTTACGAGTCTTACATTGATGGCCAATTGGCTGAAACTGCTGGCTATGGGCACCTCTAGGAGTTATCATCTGGATAGTAATCTATTTTATTTGGCTAACTTTTGTTATCTTTACCAAAGCTGGCGTATTTTTTAAACGACAATTTCACCCCCGATACTCTTCGTAGACAATAAAATAAATTTGGTAGACTTATCCAGTTTAAACAAAACCTTCAAAGTGTGAGTTAGAGTTAAAATTGACGATACAAAATGCATTCTAATTGAAAGTTAGAGTAAATGCCACAGGCAGATATGTTAGACAAGAAGGAAATATTGTGTAGTTTGAAGAACTGCTTCTGTAGAATCCTGATAAACGTGTGACAGGTTTCTCTCCACAGTTAAGTCACATATGTAATGAAAAGGTTAGAGGTCAGAGAATCTTGAACACGTCTGTTTTGAACATACGGATAACAGTTTTGTTTAGCGAATTACACTACATGTTTCCCGGCCTCTAACGCTTTAAAAAGTAAAAGGAGTCTTTTGGCAATAACCCCCCTTGCATGACAAGAAACTGTCCATAACAGAAAGTGTTGCACTGGGAGAAACAGAAAGTGTTGCACTGGGAGAAACAGAAAGTGTTGCACTGGGAGAAACAGAACATCGTCAAAACTACATTTTGACTCCTCCCCCACCCCACATCCAAAAGAAAGAAAAAGACAAAAACGAAACAAAACAACAACAACAAC